AGCAGCTCCAGGAGCACTGAAAAGTCATCACCACGTTGTGTCTCTGCACTGTGTGTGAGTCTCAGTGAGCTGGAGGGAGGGTATCGGACTCCGGGACATGCAGCAGCTCTGACGAGGTGCATTGACCACACCAAATTGTTAATATTTAAAAGTTGTAGAGCGACCAAAACTTTTAACCAGCTGAGCAGGCCAGCCAGTCAGCAGGCAGACCARYGGAAACCTCCCAGTTCTGTCTGTCCYGGTCTGCCCGTAGCTCTTTCAGCTGTCTGSGTTCCACACTTCCTGGTTGCTGTCGGGCGGACTAAACCATTTTGCGCCTCCGAGAGGGGGCCCCCCAGAATGTCCAATATGGTGTGGACAGTAAAATAACGTTCATTCTCTTCGTTTATGTTTTCAATATATTTGAAATAAATTACTACACCAGTTAATTGAAGGGCCCATTTCATTTTGAAAAAATAAATAAAAAATAAAATCAGGACTTCCATGGGCCCCTCTCCCTTCTTGGGCCCTGGGTAGTCAGGTCCACATTTCCCCCCACTTCCACGCCCATGCCTGTGACATCAAATGTTTGTAATCACATGAATGCATTTTTAGAAAGAGGACATTGATAAAATATTGCAAAAAAAATTGTGTTGCTGAGATGAACAGTTGTTGAGATATTTGCCTGTGAAGTAACAGGAAGTGATGTCAAAGGGGAATGTCTGCATGTGAACAGAGCTTTGCTACAACAGCAAACAACCCAGACTGTGGAGAAGAATCTGATCTTTCTGTAGATTATTCTGAATCACCATCAAAGAGATGAAGAGTCTGAGTTCAAATAATATTGTTTCAATAAACAAAAACCAGAGTTTTCTTTGTTAAAGAGTTCCCCTTGGATGTCACTTCCTGTTTCACTTTGACTGAGCCAAGTTCAAAAGAAAATATGTCAGTTATGGGACAAAATGGGTTAAATCGTGTGTATTATTCCAACTTTCTTAAATATAGTTGTTTTCCTTGACTTTTTGTATTTGAAGAATATGCATATCACAGGCACTTTAAATGGAGATATTAGAACTTCACTTCTTCTTTAGACTGTGCCCTCTTCAGGGGTGTCCACAGAGAGTACTCCTCCATATCACTCTGTCCTCTGTGTCCTCTGTCCTCACTCCATCTACCTCCATGTCCCCTATCTAGAATCCTTCTACCAATATACACTGTCCCTCCTCTGGACATGTCCAAACCAATATACCCACTGTCCCTCCTCTGGACARYTCCAAACCAATATACCCACTGTCCCTCCTCTGGACATGTCCAAACCGTCTGGTCTCTTTATCTTAACTTTAACTTTATCTTCCAGTCCTCCAACTGGTCTGTCCCTCTGATGATCTCATTCCTGATCTTCTCCATCCTTGTCACTCCCAAGAACCTCAACATCTTCATCACTGATACATCCAGTTCTGTCTCCTATCTTTTTGTCCATGTCTCTGTCTCCAAACCATACACTGAGTCTCTTGTAAACTTTTCCTTTGAACTGTACTCCCACTCTTTTGTCTGATATCACTCCTGAAACTTCTCTGTCCTGTCTGGTCTCTCTTCTTCACCTCTTTACCACATTCCCTGTTTTCCTGGACAGTGGACCCTAAGTCCTTGAAGTCTTGCACCTTTGTGACCTCTGCAGAACCCCACTTCAGAACAGGCATCACCCAACATTTATTTATTTTTTTGTTCTCACAGGTACAACAGAATTGATTTCSTGTATTTAAATGCAGGAATTATGCCCAATCCATCTGTGGACATCAAGGCTTTGTTCAGAGGTCTCTTTTCCAGGTAAAAACCCAACAACAAGAACTTGATCTACTTTTTTTAGTTTATTTGTTTGTTACAGGAAACTTTATAGCCACACAACCATCCACTATGTCTCTGATTTTCTGTAACGTCTCCTACTGCAGGAACGTCATCAACATGTTTGCTACGGCAGAAGGTCTCCTAACTCAGCAGGACAGTCCCAACTCAGATGGTCTACAGGAAGTTTTTGCTACTAACCTGTTTGGTCACTTTCTCCTGGTACTGTCTAAACTTGTCATTATGTTTTAAAGGATATATAAATGTGATATAGAGTGTTGTGTAACTGATGGAGAGCTGAGTGGGAAGAAAGACATAAATGCAGAATTCTGTTTTAAACTGTTTTTATAAAACTTTCTCTAACTTTAATGTTAGGCATGAGTTAGGTTTCTTTCTGTATTTATTAAACCAGCTATATCAAGTAAAATAAACTGCTGTTTTTAGGTGCTGTGTCTCCAATAGGAACAAACTTTTATTAAGTGCTGGCTTGTTGAGCTTTTTAACACTAATCTGCACATTCGATTGTAATGAACAAACACAAAATACTCCTGAATAGTTAGGTTAAATGGGGCACAGAGACAAAAACGTGTTTTAAATAATTCTAGAAAACAACAACAACAACACTTTTTGCAACAGTTCCAGCTCAGGTATCTTCAGGGTCTCCATGAGCTTGGTCCATCTAATGTCTGGGTAAATTTATGTCCATTCTTTATGTCCAAACTTCTGCAGCTCCTTTGGGTTAGATGGGGTCTGCTTGTTCCCAACAGCCATTAAATTCTCGTTAAATGGGTTCTCGGTTTGACTGAGTTCTMGAGTTTTGACAGGGTTGTTCCAATTTGGTGTCATTGTCCTGCTGGAAGATGAAATTCTGCCCCAGACGATTCAAACTCCATCTATCTTTTCTTCAACTCTGACCAGTTTGGTTTTACAGTTCCAGCTGGTTTAATGGGATGTTGAGGGTTATGGGACATTTTTAGACTCCTGTGTGGAGAGTTTCTTGGTTTTCACCATGCCTCCTGCTTTGTGGCAGATCTTACGACTTGGAGGCGGTTCTATAAGCTGCCAAATTAAATGGAAATACACTGAGATCATCTAACACCTGGATTGCTCATAGGTGCATCTTAATCCCTGTCTTTTTAAAAGGTTAGACTACCAAATGATAAAKCTGCAAGGGCTTAAGCCYTGTGRTGACMATCCACCCATCATCATGCCCARAAATMGACACASCTACACCTGAGCKGAACCTTAACAGACAGGAACCTAATAGAGACAGACTTGACAATGGAGACGGAGCTCTATTAAACTACCAGTATGTGGCTTCTGAWGGTYTTGGTAATGGTGTTAGGGTTATTAAAACAWTTTTTCCTCTAACTTGATGAATAAGATTATTTAGTGTGGGAGTACCTCTGAAGCCCACTRTCTTGTACATGTATAGTCTGGTATTAGAACAACAGGTTTACACACCAGAGTGTCCACACTTTTGTTAGTTTTAATGTGTTTGTCATTTCCTGCCGGCCTGCCTCTCACGTACTGATTTCTCAGATTAGGGAGTTGGAGCCTCTGCTGTGTCAGCCGGGTCACAGCTCCAGGTTGATCTGGACGTCCTCCAGTAACGCCAGCCGCTCGGCCTTTAGCATGGACGACATTCAGCACAGACACGGGAAGGAGCCCTACAGCTCTTCTAAATACGCTTCAGACATGCTCAGCCTGGCGCTTAACAAACACAAGAACCAGCAGGTTTGTCTGACACACACACAAGTTTGTATTTCTATCCTTATTAGGACCGTTTGTTGACTTCCATTCATGTCCAATTGTTTCCATAGCCTAACCCTGACCCCCTACCCTAAACCCAACCACCACAGTGGTACCTGCCCTACCCTAACTTAAAATCAGTACACACCTTACTCCTAAACCCCCAACCCAAAAATGGAGTTCCTCCATATTGGGACCAGTCTTTGTTACCCTAACCCCCATAGTGACTACTGGTCTAGACGAGGTTAGGTGTGTATACCAGAAACGCTCCTAAAATGGTAACAAATACAATTACACCGAGTATACTATGACATAAGCATTCTCCATCATTGAGAATTACAAGTGATAATCTGAGACCACCTGTCTATGTGACAGGGGCTGTTCTCCTCRGTGACCTGTCCAGGTCTGGTGATAACTAACCTGACCTATGGGATCCTCCCCTCCTTCTTCTGGACCCTCTTCATGCCCATCTTGTGGCTGGTGAGTTTTATTTGTTGCTGTATGTTCTTAACAAGATTTAATGAATTTAAAGACGTCTTCTCTCCAAACAGATCCGGGTTTTCACCAACACGTTTACACTCACACCGTACAATGGAGCAGAGGCACTGGTACGTTACCTGATTTCATTAGCGCACTTTTCCAATCAGACCAATTCAAGATGGCCACCACAGCCAACTGACCTTACAAAACATGAAAGTGGCTATAACAGTTCATTTTACCGATGTTGACCCAAACTAGGGSTGTCCTTGGGGACCACTATCCTGCAGTTTTAGAGYTTTCTCTGCTCCAACACACCTCATTAAAATTAACAGGTGATTAACAAACWTCTGCAGAACCTGAAGAGGTGATTCAATCACTGAATCGGGTGTGTTGGAGCAGTGAGATGGGTAAAACATGCAGGATAGTGGACCATCAGGATCAGACGCCATTGAGCTAAACTGCAAAGGTGGTAGTGTTATTATTATTTTTTTTAATTTCAGCTCTGAAAGCTTAAAACGTTTCAGCAGTCCAGTTCAGTTTTTTTTTTTTTTTTCAGTACTGGTTGTTCCTTCAAAAGCCGGAGTCTCTGAATCAGAGAGCCAAGTATCACAGTTTAACCTCAGGATTTGGGACAAACTACACGGAGCCACGTCAGGTGAGCAACTGTGAAGTATTAGATTCAATTTGTAATCATTTGTATTTTAATGAACAAGCTGTAATCAACATGGACAACATTCACAAACTGACGTAAATGCWGAGAGATTTAGTTACTTGGCTGTTTTTGTTGGTTCCTACTAAAGTACCATCACTTCTTGGCTCTAAATGGACAGGAATGAATATAAAGTGACTTTAAATGTTAAAGTTTGATCTGTGAACCTGTTCAGATTTGACTGTTCTGTTCCAGATGGACCTTGATGATGAAACAGCTGAGGCTTTTTATTCAAAACTTCTGGAGCTTGAGAAAACCATCAGAAGGAAACAGAGTGAGAGAGAAGCTGCCAACGAGGCGAATCAGGGAAACCTCAGAGAGGTAGAATAGTAGTGTTTCTTTATGGAAGGATGTTTCTCTAAAAATGGACTTTTTGTATTTCCTGAAGATGCAATGGTTCTTTTACCTCATTCTATGTCTTAACGTTGATCTTTTGTGATGCTCGACCTTCAGCATCCAGGATATTTGAGGCTGAAGTATCAGATGGTTTTAGGTTCTTTCTTCTTTAGACATTCTCACTCCCATTAAAGAGAAATTTATATTTCAATCTTCTGGTGAAAAGTATTAATAGCCGTGTRGTGCCTTAAAGGTTTTGTGTTGCACGATTATGTTTTTAAAGCTAATATATTCTCTATTCAGAACTGAAAGTAACAACAGAGGGGAGATTGGCTCTGCTGCTGTTTTGTTTCATTATGTACAGTGCCTTATGAAAGTATTCAGCCCCCTTGAACTTTTCAACTTTTTGCCACATTTTAGGCTTTAAACATAAAGATATAAAATTTAATTTTTTTTGTGAAAAATCAACAAGTGGGACACAATTGTTAAGTGGAACTAAATTTATTGAATATTTTAAACATTTTTAACAAATAAAAAAACTTATAAAAATCTTTTTGTATCCAAATCCAGCTTTAAACGTCTCCACAACAGTATCTTGGACCTGCCTGGTGTGTTTCTTGGTCTTCATGATGCTCTCTGTGCTTTAAACAGAACTCTGAGACTATCACAGAGCAGGTGCATTAATACAGAGACTTGATTTCACAAAGGTGGATTCTGTTTATCGTCATCAGTCATTATTTAGGACAACACTGGATCATTCAGAGATCCTCACTGAACTTCTGGAGTGTTTACTGCACTGAAAGTAAAGGGGCCAAATAATTTTGCACGCCCCACTATTCAGTTTTTTATTTGTTAAAGTTTAAAATGTCCAATAAATTTTGTTCCACTTCATGATTGTGTCTCACTTGTTGATTCTTCACAAAAAAAAATACATTTTATATATTTATGTTTGAAGCCTGAAATGTGGCAAAAGGTTGAAAAGTTCAAGGGGGACAAATACTTTTACAAGACACTGCACCAGTGCCTCCAGTAATTATTTTATTGGGGTGGCCATGTGGAGGCCATCTTTTCTTTTTTTTTTCCAAGGGTGGCCATTACCACCCCTGACCCCTTTGGTGGCACCCCTGTTAATATGTATCCTCACTACATTAAAAAATAAAATCTGTTATACTTTCAATAAAGTAAAATTCTCCTTGTTTGTAATAATTTTAAACTACACCTTCATTTTTGTACTTTTTCATTTGTACTGTATAACATGTTCTAGTCCAACTGACTGTTCTTTTACTGACGATGCCCTGATCTCTGCTCAGGACTGGTCAGGTTGCTAGAAAGAGACGATCAAAAACTAAATAAAATGGTAAACAAAAAAGCTGGAAATAACAAAGCAAAGAAGGCAATGATAATGAGATAAGGTGAGACCAGTGGATTAGTTGTATGAACATAACATTTTTACASCTGGAACAAGGACGTGGTTGCCGATTTTGACTGAAATCAAAACAACAAAGCTTTTTGTTATCCTATAATAGGTTGACGCATTTTAAATATTCATTAAAGGTAGCCCAGGTCACTCTAAATTTTTCATTGGAATTGGTTTTACTGTGTCTCAATGTCTCCTTATCGGGTTTCCATAAAAGAATAATTAGTCTTTGGGTCATTAATGAGGCTGAAACCACAGCCTCTGAGGGTGTTAGGTTTACTAGTGTATGTATGAAAGGGTGTTAAAACTACCTTTTTTTCTAATTCAAAGGATTTATTTCCATCTGCAGCTGCAAGTCAACTCACCGTGAGTTAACAAGTTAGCATGCTGTAAAATAGTGATTTGTTTAWTTTTTGGTTATTTCCACTCTTGAGAAACATCCATTATCTTTACCTGCTTTCCCTTTCCGGGTCATGAGWAGGGCTGCCACGATTAGTCGACGACTAATCGATTATTAAAAATAATCGATGACTAATTTAATAATCGATTAATCTTTTTTTTGTTCTTTACTTTGTTTTTCTCTCCAAACTGCTTTAACACCTTCCACTGCCACATCTGCCTTTCTGTCCTTGACACACATGCACAGTAGTGGTAACTGGGGTAGGCCGTGGACGTCACAAGACATTATACAGACAGGCTCTGGTATCATGGCTACCTGACAACGGAGCTCAAAGTGTGGGATCATTTTAAGAAAATGAAAGAGAAACCTGTGTAATATCTGCAGAGCAGAACTTGCCTTCCACAGCAATTATTTTTAGTTAGCATATAGCTAAAATCTAACAATGGTTATATAATAGCATCTGCATTCTGGCGTGATAAGCTCTGTGTTTTATATTCAATTAACGTATGATCTGATTAGTTGACTAATCGAAAAAAATAATAGGTGATTAATCGATTATAAAAATAATTGTTTGTGGCAGCCCTAGTCATGAGGGTCACCAGGCTCCATCTCCAGCAATCACTGTGTGAGAAACTGAGGGGCACCCTGGACAGGTTTCAAGTCCATCACAGGAACACCTAAACCAACTCTTCTTTCAACTAAGGACAATTTAGAGTTACRAATCTTTTTACTTGTTACTAACATGCATGTTTTTGGTCTGTGGCAAAGAAACCGGAGTACCCAGCAAGCTGTGCATGTACAGAACATGTAAACTCCACACAGAGGCTGGGATTCAATCCTGTACGCTTCTTGCTGAGAGGCGACAGCTCGTTCAAGTTCTTCCCTGAGCCCTTGGTATTTCTTTGTATTTCTCCACCTTGTCGTGTTCCTTTATCCTGATGTTCCCATCATTGGGGATGGCCTCATCAATCACAACAGCTGTCCTCTGCTGCTTATCAACGATCACATTGTCCAGTTGGTTGGCCATTACCATCTTGTCTGTTTGAATCTGGAAGTCCCACAGGATCTCAGTCATTCTCCATTACCTTGGGAGGTGATTCCTACTTTGATCTTCAGTTTGGTCTTCAGTTAGTACTCTGCACAGATGTTTCTGTACACTATACCAGCCACTTCCATGCATTGCTTTCCTGCTTGTATCTTACACCTGCTGTGAGATGCTGGYCCTAATCCTGTGCTACCATGACCAGTGCTTCTTTGTTGTCCTACAGTCCTGCCCTCTGTTGGTAGGATTTGGTCTTATCAGCCACTGTAGCRATCTTTTGATCCCATGCAGGGGTTTTTCCTCCCATGGTGGTTCCTTCKGCTCCTTCTCTTTCAGTTTCCATTGTGTGACACATTCACTGAGCGCTTCATCTTTTGTGGCCATCTTCCTGATGTATTCTTGGAACTTGGATATTTCATCTTGGATGGTGACTCTGATGCTCACTAGGCCTCTGTCTCCTGTACGCTTGGTGTATAGCCTGTAGATACTGGATTTGGGGTGGAATCCACCATGCATTAATTCCAACTGCCTACCTCATGATATGATGAGAGTGAATAAACGTAGAACCATACAGGCTCAGATGTCACTCGGTCTAATAAGGCCTCTGTCAAATGTTGAGGAACCAGGACACTGATGAGAGATGGCTACTGAAACAAGATGGACACTGAAAGTGAATAAGGAACTGTTAAAACYCTACTACTTACTACTACACTAAGTAATACACTCAAGTAATACTACATCACGCAAGGAGGAAAACTTTTACCTGTGCCTTTGTTTTGAAATAAACTTTAAGCTTTTTTTTTTACAAAAAACGAAAAAAAAGTTAAAAAAAAAAACCTAAACTTCAAGCTAAACTGAGGCAGCACCAGCATGCACAGTAGATCTTATCCTGCTCCCAAGTTGACCCAAGAAAGACCGTCCACGTTATTTACATAAAGAGGCAGAAATGCATAAGGTAAAATAAAAACAGGAGACAGAGTAATGTAAAAACAACACATGGAAATAAAGACGTGGAAAAAATATTTTAAAACATACAATCACTTAAGAGACAAATGCAAGTAAAAGGAAAAACAAAAAAACATACATTTTTAAAAACAGTAAAATTAAAATTATGTGCTAAAATATATAATTTATTGGAACTAAGCTGGAAAAATAAATATTAAGGTCAGCTAAATWATAAAACACGAGCTAAATTTTTCATTTTTTATGTAATTGGTGCATTTTACGTGTATTTATTTATTGGCCCATTTATATATTTCTGTTTTATTTCTAATTATGTCAGATTTGGTCCAACATATATGTGGGTGTGGATAGCTTTTTGTTGATAAGCAGCTCTACAAACTTTATTAGCCTTTTTAATGTTATATTAAAACCAGAAAGATTCTTTTAAATGTTCAGTAAAACCTTTTTTTTCCTAAACTCTTGTCAGTGTTGTCTTCTTACTGTCGATGCTTGTGTCAAAAGTGTGGATTCACACATTTCAATTTATATTTTTACACAATTTAATTTGCTGTTTGGTTTCTAGCTGACCTACTTTTAATTTGAGGATCATTTCACCACAAAACATAAATTGTGAAAAGCCTGTCCTTTTAAAATAACTGAAAATGCAGCTGAAAACTGCAGATAAAAAMGTGTGTAAATCTTTTTTTTAATTGATTTAAAAACCCACAACTGGCCTTGTTCAGCTCTACATTACATTATGTTACAATTGTTGGAACATATGTGACCGGTTAAATTTATACACCTTACCAAAACCGAGGACTAATGTGTTTGTTGAACAAATTCTTCGCCACATTGTGGCCCCTTAAAAATCCTACATCCGCAACTGTTTGACTTAGTGCAGGGTTAGTGCTGTATTTTTTTTAGATTAGTGCTGCCAACCACTGCATTTCTTAAACTTTACTCTGTTATCTTCTTTATTATTATTTCTTAAATGGGGTATTATGAAAAAAAAATACTTTTTTGAGCTTTATATCATGTTATGACGTCATTCCCTTATCAAAAACAAACCCAGTGTTGCAACTGATTGATAACCAGGATCAAAGTCAAACACAGTCACAGTCAAATCTGGTTGCGCGCGCATCTGCTGTGTTGATAAACAAATCCTTCTGTAAACCTCTGGATTAGGTTTATTTCAGGGGGAGGAAAAGGTGACCCAGAAATTATAAAAATTATAAATGGCGGGAAATAAAATCTTCTTATCAAAACGTAAATAATGGCACGCAGCCTCCTGCGTGCTCAGAGTGGCGCGCGCGCGGCCGGATGTCCCGGATGTTGCTCGCACCGGAAGAGAAGGGGCAGCTCTCCCAGCCATCTTGTGGCAGCATCCAGCGAGTGGGTCGCATCAAGCCTCGTAGAATCGGAGGTGAATCCCGTTGAAGGGGCGCCATCATGCCCGGACACCTGCAAGAAGGCTTCGGCTGCGTCGTGACCAACCGGTTCGACCAGCTATTGGACGACGAGTCCGACCCGTTCGAGATCCTAAAAGCGGCCGAAAACAAGAAGAAGGAGGCGGCCTCSGCTGGCTCCACCAAGACCGCGGCTCAAGCCGCCAAGCAGCCGAAGAAGGAGTCTCAGAAGGACAGAAAAAACCCGCTGCTGGATAAYAAGGAGGAGGCCCAGGCGCCGGTTCCGCTGAAGAAAGAAGGTAAAAGCGGCAGCGCGTGGACTCCCCGCTCCAGCTTTTATTTGTTTCCGTCATGTGCGGCTCCGGTTAGCGGTTAGCTGCAGGGCTGAGGCTCGGTGAGGTCGGCGCGGCCCCCCGGCCTGTTGTTGTAGAGCAGCGGTGTCCGGTTCTGGTCCTCCAGGGTCCACTATCCTGCAGGTTTTAGTCGCCTCGACACACCTGGAAGGAGCGGGGGTGGGGATTTTGCAGAACCTGAAGAGTAGAGAAACATGCGGGATGGTGACCCTGGTCGTGGTGAGGACCAGGACAGAGCACTGCTGCTGTAGAGCAACAGGAGCTCAGAGCAAAACAAGCTGCTGATGTACCTGTGCAGGTAAAATAATCCAATAATAATAACGCACCTGTGCAGGTAAAATAATCCAATAATAATAACGCACCTGTGCAGGTAAAATAATCCAATAATAATAACGCACCTGTGCAGGTAAAATAATCCA